CTATGGATAAAGTAACAGTAAAATATCAGAAAATGACTTGGAGGGACATAACTAGAAACAGAAAACCTACATTTTCACATTCCACAAGAATTGAACCATGATCTGATAAAAAGTGTCAAATTTCCAAGTGGTCTCTCGGGACGTATGATATTGTTACTTATTTTGATGTCATTTTTAGTTTGTTATGATGACTTACTATATTAAAACTATAACCTCTTTAGTTCTGTCATCTTACGGTACATAGCAGTATTTATTTCTATGGTATTTACAGATAACATTTTAAAAAGTACCAGCAAAAATTAAGTAAAAGGTTTTAGCTTTTACAGCACTAGTAAATCTACTAATTAATCATTTAGTTCCAATTATTGGAATCGACACTACTTAACAGTAGGTATACCTACAATAAAGCTATTTTCAAAAGAAAACTCTAAGAATTATTAAATCAGAAACAGTATGTTCTATTGCTCCCAAGGAAAGTATCTACATTAGATTCCTATAAACAATTTGTGTAAATTTACCTGGAGAAACAAGGTTGAAGCACGTTAGAACGTTTTTAATCGAATTTGTTATATTATCAGCCTCGATTTTTTATTGTTTTGAAAACAAGTAATAGTTATCTAAGTAATAAAAAATGTAAGTGCATTTTAACACGCGAGGATAAGTTAACGGCCGAGGCGTCAACGTCACGCCGAGGCATGTTATGTCCGAGGATGTTAAAATTCTTGGTATGATGTGGTTTCAGGATTATTAATTAATCTTTGACAGGGGTTAATAGCGCTTTTGGAATTTTCGGCTAATGTTGGAAGTACTTTACTTGTTTGAATGTTTGCCAAAATTTTAGAAAGAAGAAGACTTTAGAGTGACTCCCAAAGCCACTTGATAGTAATTATTCTGCAGAAGTAGGATAAGTCTAGTAGAGTTATTTTTGAAAAACACAATTCATTAACATTCATCCCTTCTGAATAAATTTTTAAAACTACTGTTACTTTACGAGTGATGTCTAAGGGTTGTTTGGAGGAACGCTTTATTATTACGACATAAGAAAATGCGATGTCCTAAATAGTTAGATAATCTCCAAAACTGCGGAAACATTACATTAAAAAGTGTTTAAACTTTTCATGAATATATGTAGTAAAATGCTAATAAAAAAACGTCATAATAAAATGCAGTTGATCAAATTCCAAAATATTAATTTCCCGTGATATGTTTTTTTAACCGTGGTTTTACAATCTACCCCAATTTTCAATTTTGCTTAAATAGGTCGTCTTAAAAAATAAGATTGGACGTTCAAATTATATAAACAACTAACTTAGAGATTACATAAACAATTATTTATAAAAATAACAAAATTTTTCTTTAAAGTGGCACTTCGGGCATGACAGATAGAGGGCTACTATATAAAAGGAAAGAAATAGGATAACCTTGTGTGTATTAATCCCAGTCTATTCTAAATAAAATTAATGCAAAGGCAAATTCTGGGTTAATATAATTTTACATAGGTTTTTAAATCAACTAGAAACTTACAAAGACAAGTATTAATTAAGTGTTCATTATTTTTCTACGGATCTTGATTTTTTACATCACGAAATTTTGTTATATTATATGTTATTCTATATTTTATCTCATATTAATTAATTGATGTAAAATAAAATTAGAAATATCCAACTGCATAATTTATAATTTTTGTTGTGCTAATACATGTAAAATCAGTTTATTTCTGACACTGAGAAATTGCTTGCAATGTTGTATTTGAATAAAGCATATGAAATTACTAAAATTATTGGGCGTTGCAAATATTTTAAAAACAGATTGCATTCGAAAAGTAGTATATTTAGTGAAATTATTTTCTTGGTTAATAAATGGACTTCATAATTAAAAAGTTGATGCTATCATATCACGGACAATAACAAATAAAGGACACTTAAAAAAAATTGGCCAAGGTTATTTAAGCAGAACTTCCCTCGCTCCTGAAGTGCAGCACAACATATCCAGCTTTATTGACAAATAAAACAATATTCTGCAAATTTTATTTTGTTTAGGATAACCCCTGTAAGCTAAAATAAATATGCGAGTGCAATGTTAAAATAAAGGCAAAGAAGTATGACATATATCTCAAGTAAGTTTTTCCATTACAAAATTTTTTGATGACGTGAACAACATTTTAGCAAGGACACACGTATATCATTTTGGGCAGGTGCAGTGTAATACAGTGTAGTAACAATACTGTATAGTCAAATTTTTGGGAAAATGAAGTCAAGCGTTCTTAATTCTATCAATAATATAGACTGTCTCATTCATTAATTTTTTATCGCCCTCCATATTCTAAATAATATTAATGCATTGATAAACTACAATAATAATTAGAATGCCGGTCATTTCCGGGTCAGTGGTGGGTCTTAATTATAATATTTTGCACATGTTTTTACGACAATCGAGGAAGAGGAAAAGTCAGTCAGTCAGTCAGTCAGTCAGTCAGTCAGTCAGTCAGTCAGTCAGTCAGTCAGTCAGTCAGTGAGGAAGTAATTATGTAGATAGGATTTAAAAAATTTTGAGATGACATAATTAATTTTTGGAAGGGTATAAACGAATAAATTTTGATTAACGATTTATCATGATTATGATTAAAACCTTAATAAAACATTTACTTGATTTAACAGCATTCGGTTTTGCAATTAATTAAAAATATTAAATTGCAAAATGTTGAGTTATATATTTAATTGTATATTTTTCCAAAAACCTGGATGTCTAAGGTAAAAACTCATAAACCACTGTGCAAAATTTTGAGATGACGTCATCACATTGTTGGTGCGGATAAATTTTGGTACACGTTTTAGCATCTACATCTATACATAAAGTACGGCCACATGACTATACGAATTTTTAGTGGAAAAGAAAAACAAACTTAGGCTATATTACTTGTGATGTGATATCTGTGTGGCGGCACAACACGTTGGTAAGCGAAGAAAGATAAGTGGCCTCGTGGTCTAGTGGTTACAATGCTTGCCCGGAAAGCGATAGGCGTGGGGTTCGAATCTCACCGAGGTAATAACATTTTTCTCCGCTTACCTTCAATCTGTAAACGTGATACCTTCTGGTTTTACTTTACAGTATGTGGTTGGAAAACTTTTATTAACCCAAGTTATATTGATACAAGAATCACTTTCTTTTCGCGAGGCATGTTTAAATTTTGAATATTTTTGAAGATTGCATAAAATTCTGTTTTTAGTCTTTATTTCTGCCACTGGCACTGTACAACAATTACTACATGCATATTTGGGAAATTTGATTTTCAAACACAAAGCAACAGGCGGTGGATTTTTAATAAAAAACGCACTTTATCACAATCAGTCCAGTAGTTTCGGAGAGTATTTATCTAATAAAAATCGACATAGACAGACGACATATTGACAGCCGGACGCATCCTAGCATTTATTTCCCTAGCTTGCGCTCGGGAAATAAAAACGGTTTATCTTTTAATTTTTCTGAACTTAGGCAAACCTTTACATTACAATTAGTGTTACAGTGTTAATATTAAAATTAATATAGTAACCTCATTAAAATTTTGATGCCGTTATTAATTGAGAAGTGACGAAATTATTGTGTAAATAACCACAAATTTTTATTATCGGACATTAATTAGTTAATTCAGTCAAAGTGGTTTAGATTTTATTATTTTTAAATATTATTATAACCCCCAGTGAGTCGGAATTGGCCGGGATTGACACGGACTGATGAGATTGGTCACAAAAAGAAACGACATTCGATTTTCTAGAATTACTGATGGTCTGCTGTAATCTTCTAACTTTGTCCCCCTCTCCCCCCAGAGGCCACGCGTGACCGGTGGTTGTTGATTTGATAGGGAAACGCAATGACTGATTTAGTCTACTAGGCGCTAATTTACCCTGATGAACATGATCAGACTGTTTGAGAAACTCGCGAACAATACGACCATTACGTAATATTAAATTTATTATGATATCGCCGTAAGTCCACGATGGAAAATTATTCGCCAGAGCCACATCCTGTCACCTGCAAGGCGCGTTTCCACACCTGCGTCACATCGCAGCATGAGAACTCCAATTCTGCATTTTTCGTCTTTATATAAGGAATCGAATAGTTCATTGTCCATGTCAGTCCAAGTCAATATTCATTATGAAGTTAAAATGTAAAAAAAAATCAACAGTATCAGTGTCAGTCAAATTTTTAATCGTTCGCGCTCTCCCAATAATTTGTAATAGGTGACTAAGTTAAATGTTGCGAAGTAATTTAATTGGTAATGAACAATTGTGAATGTAATAATAATAATTGTGAAATAATCAATAATTAACAATCAAAGTGTGAATAATTATGAATTAAAAAGAGTCGTTTAAAAAATAAGTTTATTAACCAATAAAGTTTGCTCATTATTAACTTTTATGCCCTTGTTTTAACATTTTTTGCAGTATTGATTTATTTTTTCCAAATTAGTAGGTTTTTTAAACACGTTTAATTTTGGGTGAGGTAATAATTGGGTTGAAATATTTCAACTTAGTTAGCCTAAGACGGATAGTCCTATTTACAAGAATTGTTTTGATGGAATTAAATAATGGCCTATTCAACCAAGTTAACTGCATTAAGTAACTACACATTAATTTTCTAAATATAGAAATTATTTCTTGTTAGAAAACTGAACTCTTGAAAAAATGTTTCGATTAATTTTTTTTGATAATATCCTATGTACCTTCAGTATATACTTATATGAGGAGACAAACTACATTAAAAATAAATGTTCTATTTCATTTCGTACGAGACCGAATCATGTATACCTAAATATAAACAGTCCTGTGTTCTGGGAGCCTAGATTGACATTACTCTGGTATACTTACTGCATTAGTGTTTAAGTTTGTTTAATTGGTGATCTGCGGTGATATTAATTTTACGTACTTTTACATAAAACTCAAAATATTTGACTTGTAAACTCTACACTAAGTGCTCTTATTGAAAAAAGTGTTAATATTTACCTATAAATAGTTGGTAGTTGACTAGAATCCTCACTTGTGTTGTCATTGTTGTTGTTGTTATCGTTATTAGTATAGTTACATAACGCCAATTGAGACATGTTAGTATCCAATTGTGTTATTACATAAGAATCTGCACCACAGTTTTAACGTTAATATTTATTCTTATATTACACTTTAATTTATTAGTGTATATTAATTTAGTATATTATTCCATAAACGAGAGGCACTACAAGGTTTTTTTCTTAAGGCAAGCAATTATTTGATGTATGTAAAAATCTGCAAAAATAGATTACGAAGTAGTAAATGACTATCTAAAAAAATCTTTGAGAGAGTGCAAAGTGTTTTAAACAAACGTTCCTACCTATTCATAACTGAGAAACTAACATACTGGTACCCTATACTAAACTTAATCAAAAAATCAATAAATGCAAGGAACTCCTGGCATAATTCCATTCTAACTATAAAAATTAAAAAAATATATGTGCTGAAATTTGTCACTTGGCATAAAGTCAAAGGACGATTATAAAAATAAAAACTAACCTCACTACCAAAAACTCATTTGTTCTTATTTAACGATGCGTTAAAATGTTACAATTTTAAAGTTATTTTAGTTGTTTTTTGTCGAAACTGTATACGCTATAATCCGTTATCACACTATTTTACGGAAGATCTAGATTGTTACTAGCGAATCGATAACCTATTTTTTATTGCTGGTTTAAAAAGCTTTGTTTAAGCTTTTACATTAACACTATTGTCTCACTACTAATCATCTATTTTATAGATTAACCAATCTTTTAGATTATAACCTTTATGCTGTTTAAGAAGACCTTCGATATTAACGCGTTTTATTTACAAGTCGTGTCACAACCAGTTTCAAATACAAAAAGTTAAATGGAAAAGATAAGAATCACAACATATTAAGTTAACAAAATAGCAGTTCGAAGGACGAACTTATTATATTATGGGCAGTTGAGTTTTCGTCATTGCAGGTTAAACGAAAATAGTCGACTTTAGGCGGAAATTCTCGAGAGCTTTTGAGAACTCGTACGAAGCAGCCGCGCACACGACAATGCTCTTTCCTGCAAAGCAATGCAGTGGCAGGAAGTGGCATGAGAATCTGCCGCATTTTACGAAACGGGAAGGTTAACAATACTGCATCTTAAGGGGATGTTTGCTAAATGAAAACTGTCGGATTTTTAATTTTGCCGTGTTATTGTCTTCACAAGAAGTTTGCGTGTAGAAAAATAAAGACGAGAAGTACTGGTAAGCTGGTTGAAACTCAGGAAAGCTGGGGTGTAATTTATGACACCCATAATCTCTGGAACAGTTCGGCACCCGCTTGTCGTGTATTATTGTTCGATTTTCGTTCGTCAACAGTTCAATTTTCATATACGAATTTATAAAAATGACCACAAGAAATTAATAAGAAATAAAAATCTGAATGTGTACAAAAATGAACTTCGAAAAATTAAGACAACAAATAGTAAGACCAAACAATTATAATCTAATTGGGAAACTGATTGATTTACAACAAAAAAAGCACTTGGCCGAATAATTATAAATGCAGTTATTTTTCGGACACAAATCAATCACTTGCGCAACACTTAAAAAGATTTGTGGCAAGTAAAATAAAATCAATTTTAAGTGTCCAAATGGTTCTACTGAGTGTGTCCCTATACTGAAATGCAACGAGACAATCACCAATTTCTACATCAGTACGTACCTATATGTCATGATGTAATGCAAATCGTAAAATAAACTAGAGACCAATAATTTGTTTCGTTTTTATTTATGCGTATTTATAAATATACCCAATTGTTTTACTTAAAACTAAGTACTTCAATTATTATTTGGATTACATATTTCAATTATAACTGGTTCCCTAGCTGGTTAGTATCGGCTAAGTTCAAACTAAAGAGGTATAGAAATTACCTGTGTATACTGAATGGCTATCCGGCTAATTATAAGGTTTATGGTAATCTTTTATTCAACAAAATAAAATTCTTTCAGGTAATACACTTTGATCTTTGACAAAAAGCCGAGAAGCAATAGGATTGGTGATTATATAAAGTAACAATAATAAAATTTCTATTAGAAACATTGACTTACACTTTATGTAAGTGTATAAAAACAGCGGCGGGTCTAAAAAACAATAATATTTATATGTACAGAAATTAGGAAATAAAAGCATAATAATAGTAAAACTAATCAAATGATGATTAAACTGCATTTTTTGTTTGTAGTTTTAGTAGGTTTTTGACATAATAATTCTGATAAAAGTTTTTTCGACTTTTTCGTGGCTTTGAAAGTGGAATCTTCGACTTTCGTCCCATTTCAAAATTTACTCTTTATATATTTCAATGGTCACAACGAGTTCACTAACTACACTGAAGTAAATTTATGCAAAGATTAAATTTGTCACCGAAAAGATGTCGGAAGTAATAAATTATCTCATCGGTCCAAGAACGTTCGGTGGGTGTTATACCCCAATCCGAGAGAGACCGCAGTAAGAGACAGCAAATGGAACGAATAAAATAAAGCTTCAAACATGATCAGTTTTAAATCAAAATTATGAAGTTTTATAAATCTCGAATTTTTTATTTATTTTGAAATATCATAGTAAACACTTCAAAGAATGTCCATGACTTACTTTAATGTGAATTTTATAACTATGGTCGGCACAGTCGGACCTAATATTAGTGTGATTTTGAGCATATTTGCGATTTTATTAGAGCAAAACAGGTCATTTTTTCTCCAATTTTATAAGTTCCGGACACTAATAGCATATCAAAGATATTGTAAAAAAAAAAAATTGGGTTCAATTTCCAACTAGTTGTCTAGTATTTGTGAAACAAAATCTACTGTAAATTCACTGAAAACTAAACGGATAACATCACCTTAATTTTTATTTTATGAAAGAAGAAATACATACTACCATATTTATTGCTTTTTCTTTTTAATTATATGCATCGGTATACAAAATTGATTAAAAAAATAGGAAAAAACAAAATCACTTAATGCGACGTCCGAGAGCACAAATGATTTTGTGTAATGACTCTGGATTTTTGGTTTATTAACAAATTGATAATCTGTTAAAATATTTAAAACCGGTTACACTTAATAAAACCTCTGTATCTGGAAATGATAGTTCAGTTTTGGTAATCAGATTAACAAAATATACCTATAGTTATTTCTAAATGAAAACATAAATTATTAAAACTTTCTTTAACAAAATAGTAAATACTTAATTAATAAAACCTTAAAATCTTCTCATTAAGTACGTGCTCGTAATTTTATCTAAAAATCGGATTATATTAGAAAAAATATATTAATTCATTGTGTAAAAATGATCTAAAGGTATTTAGACATAACTTCATTCACCCTTGCAACGCAATCCCTTAGAGGTAGATTATAATAATTATTAAGATATTAATTAATTAGTGTGATTTACGTACTACCTAATGGAACGGTCCAAGCATAAATGAATTTCCCAACACAGACTTTATTTCGTTTAACTTATACAGTTAAATCCATAAGGTTGTAACCACTCGTTAAATTGTAAGGTTGGCATTACAGCCAATGGTGTTTTTCACATGAACAGATTGGTAGCGGCGCATATGTCAAAATTTGACAATTACGCACGAGAGAGTTTTATTTAAATATCTCACAGTTTGTTATTAAACCATACCATTGAAAAATGGTACCGACACGGCATATTGTGGTAAATAAGCAGATGAAAATGGCACTTGCCAACTGCCACAATGAATTGAAACTTGCTTATCCCCAAGCATCCTCCCGAGAACTTGAATTCAAGCTTGTAAAAATCTTTTCAGTATGTAGTTATTCTTATACCATGGAAAGAGAGTACTATACTATGAGAGTAACGTATCGACATTCGGAACTTTTTTCATGTTATTACAACATGGTGGTATGTCGAACGACTTTTAGTTTTAACTATCTCAAGTTGAAAGTGTATATCTCGCTTTTTAGTACAACATTGTCTTTTCAAGTTTTATACCCACTCTTTATATCCTACACAATACAACTAAATGTCCCTCATTAAATTCAAGCACTGCATACTTTCCCTGTAAACTTATCATTAATTCCTATCCTTTCCATAGTGTTCTCGATGTCAAGCCCACAAAATTATAACCCAACACCAATCTGGAGAACCGTTACAAGAAGCAAAGTGGAAACCAAAACAAAAATCGCAGTGGTATTCAAATTTGGAATTTAAAGAAGATCTAACCTACCGTATATTTGACAAAAACAAAAAAAAATGAGTTTTTTACTCTTCAGGATTTGTTTATTTTTGCGAAAGAACATCCAGAATATACAGCAAGTTTAAATACTTTACGTTGAGTATTAAAATCCATGGGATTCAGATTTAAGAAAGTTAACAACAGAAAAATAATTGCTTTTTGGTTATTTGGTCTATGTGTTCCCAATGTTTCTAACCACTCCTGTAACAGTAAGTTTAAATAAGCCGTCAAATTATTTTCAACATACCTATTATTTTAGCCTCTGAATTTTGTGAAGTTACATTTTGTTCATTATTACCACTAAAATCGTCAGGACGGAGGAGCATAGCCAGACCTATCGCCTTCAACCAAATCCCTTGTACATTTTGTAAATAATAAGTAGTACCAAATATTAGAGTTATTAAACATAACATTAAAGACTTGTTGGTGTCCCATTTTTTTGATGAAAAATTGGTCATCCATTGCAACTAATTAAGGTGATCTACCCATTATAGACAATTTTGGTGTTGCTCGCGAGATTGATCATTTCAGTCGAGAGAGCTGATCCTTCGAGTCATAGTTAGCCACACATATAATTATCACGTATACTCATGTACAATAATTTAAACAAATTCTGAATATCTCAGTTATTCCCCATCTGTAAAGTAATTTTTATGAAGCAGCAACAATAAATAAATCAATTCACCTTGTTTTTTTACCAGCCCAATATTTGATTTCATTCGTGACCACAATATTTTTGGGTTCATTTTATCGTAATTCGTAAACGTATCGACTGCAAGTCTAAATTACAGCAGGTGGCATTCTTTCTACAGATGAAAGATAAAACACGTTTCTATTTATCGTTGCTCTTGTATTATAATTACCATGAAGACTCAGGTTATCCTGTTTTTATTGAAAATTGTTTATCAGTTTTTACAATATTGCGACAAGTTACAATGATAATTATGAAATAACCTGTGCAGGAGTGCAAGAATTGCAGTGAAGTCGAACGTAATCATGTGTCGCGAATACATGAATGAACTGACATTATATTGACAGGTCACCAAATATGTCACCAGGTTATTAAAAGACAGATTTACACTGAATAATTTTTAAAAATTTACACTAGGGAGTGGTTACAACCTTATGCATTTGAGTTTATGTGCTCCTTTTTACAAGAGCGACACATGTTATTAAAAATTACATTATCCATATAAGTCTGTTCTTTTGATTTACTATTGTTCTTTCACTTAGAAATAAACCTAAATAACTAATAGTATAACAATGAATTTTATGGGACAAATCGAAAAAAATAAAAAATTAAATAAATAAATAAATGCGGAAGCGATAGTTGTACGCTTTGAATTGTTTCTACTTTTATTTTAACGAATACCAAAAAAACCAAACTTTGAACAGTAACAAGACTAAGGATGATAATAATAATTATATTGTAACATAAAAGTTACCAGAACGATAACAGTATTAATTAGTTATTCAAAAATACAAGTACATAGTGAATATATATGTACCATACCAAAATAACCAAACAGATGCAGTAATAAAAGCGAATAATTAACGTGTCAACAAGGAATCTCTGTTCCTTGTGGTTAAACAACGCACAATAGAACTCTAGTAAAAGCTGTTCATGCAACATTCACGATTTTACTACAGAATCTTGTAGGTCCCTTATTAGTGACAAAGTAAAAAAGAAATCAAATTTTGTACGAGAGTAA